TAACCCTAACCCTAACCCTAACCCTAACCCTAACCCTAACCCTAACCCTAACCCTAACCCTAACCCTAACCCTAACCCTAACCCTAACCCTAAAAAACCCTAAAAAAACCCTAAACATCCTGCTCGATTCCAACGTCGCAGCTGAACACTTTGACGCGTGCACCTGCGCTCTCAAGCTGGGCGACAGCATCTCTAGCTTCTTGTCTCTTGAGACCGCTTCTGTTGGCGAAAATGATGTTTTTGGCACCGTGCGCAATCATCCATGAGGCAATAGCGCAGCCAATGCCACCGAGTCCGCCCACAAGCAGATACGAAGCATCGGAGCGAAGGAGAGTTAACGAGATAGCTCGTGGTACAGCCTAGTATCTGTTAGTGAGTTCTCGAGAATTGAGCATAGAAATCTTACCTTGACTGAAGGATTTCCATCAGAAGTCAGCACAAGTTTGCCAATGTGTCTTCCCTTCTGCATAACGCGCAGTGCACTTTCTGCCTGGTCGATAGGGTACACAGCAATGGGCTGCACAGGCTGAACAGCGTTGCTTCGGAAGAGATTCATCACCTGTTTCCACATCTCGCCGGTCTGCGCAGGGCGGGCTTTGGCGAGGTGAACAAAGTCAACGGCCGAGAAACTGACGTTGAGAGCAAATTTGCGCATGTCCAAGCGAGTGTCGAGCTCGAAATCTCTACGTCCGAGTTCGACAAAGCGGCCGAAAGGAGCGATACAGCTCCATGTTAGGCGCAGTGCGTCTCCAGCAACAGAGTTCATGATTACATCAACGCCCTTGTTTGCGGTTGCCCTCATGACGCGTTTGGCAAATGTGCCATCACGACTGTTGAAGATGTGATCATCTGGAATGTTGTAGGTGTCCATCAGGAATTGCTTCTTCTCTGCTGCACCGACAGTGGCGAACACCTCGGCGCCGATCATCTGGCACAGCATAATCAATGCCTGACCGAGTCCTCCAGATGCCGCATGGATCAGGATACTCTCACCCTTGCGCAGTCTAGCTGCCTCAAAGATCGAATGGTAGGCTGTGCAGAAAACGATGGGAATGGTTGCTGCGGTCTCGAACGACATATCATCGGGGATGATCTGTACGGCGCATGCTTGTTGGCGAAGACGGTTGCAGTAGGTACCTTGAGCATAGGTGACCACGCGGTCGCCGACGCTGTAACCCGCCACATTATTGCCCACAGCGGTAACCACACCACTGCACTCAAGACCGAGTGGCTCAGTCTTGACTTGGCCCATCGCCATCATGACATCCTTGAAGTTCATGCCCGAAGCGCGGACTTCGATCTCGACAGAATCACTCGACAATTTGCCTTCCATTCTGACATCGTCATTGAAATGCAAGGTGTCAAGTAAGCCAGGCGTTTTGATATCCATGATCAGGGATCTACCAGGCTGCCAGAAAGGCTGTGCATCGGGCACAGGTGCAATAGTGCGTGATGCAATGTGTCTGTTGCTCTTAACATCCTCAACAATGCGCGGTATCATCAATGAACCATCTCGCTTGACCAGTTCGACCTCAATAGACTTATTGTCGCTGTTATTGAGATTGAAGCTTTTGGTGACGACCTCGAAAATGGTGTCAAGGTCCGAATCTTGCTCTTCGTCGAGATCCAGCGTCACTGTCATGACACCAGCTGTCTCAGCTCTGACCACACGCGAGAGACCAGTGATCATATTGGCTCCAGGCGAAGTTGGGTTGATTGTGGCCCCACGAGTGATCCAAAGGGTGCCCAAACCACCGAGATACACGGTTTTGTATGCCTCGAATAGCTTCTCGTCAGGAGATGAGATGGGATCAGCGCTGTTGTCGAGCAAAACAATCGAGACCTTGTCTTTGACGTCCGCATCATGGAAAGAGTTGAGGTTGGTTTGCACTCCAATCGAGCTGAACTTCTTCTGAAGAGCTTCGACATCCACCAGACTGGATCCCTCGTCTACGATGATATTGAGTTCGGGAAGACTGACTTCAGGCGTTGACTCATCGATCGCAAGGATGACATCTTGATTTTGATACACGGTCATCTTGGTCTCTGCCAGCGAGGCGGTGACCGAGCGCGATGTATCCACGAAGACCAAGCTACCGCCCTTTCTAAGCAGCCCCGAGAGAATGGGTACCTTGCTCTCAATCTCAATGCCCTTCACGAGGATCAAATCGTAGAAGCCTTTCTCGAAACCTTGAGGCTCAAGCTCTTGATGAAGTGCAAGCGGCTTCGATCTCGCCAGACCAGCCCAACGATTGGCGTGCTCGTTCAGATACTCTTTAGAAGCAAAAGCGCTATCGTAACAAAGGAATCTGACCCCAGGACCTGAGCCAGATCCGAGTGTTTCGAGTAGCCTGACGGTCAGGGATGTTGACGGGTCGAGTTCAAGAATTCTCAGTTGTGGCTGCTTGTGAGCAAGAAGATCAACGTAGGACAGCAGACCGTCTTCGCTGCACAGATCATGAAGAGCCGAGCGCCCGAGGAAACCGACATCGGGTTGCCACTTGATATCAAAACAGATCGGCTTGGTCGTCTCGTGCGAGCCTCCCATGTCGTCTTGGCCCAGTTCAGTACAAATCAAGCCGTCGATTTCGATCACTGGTGAGCCTGTATCGGTGACGAGAAGGGATGTTGTGTGCTGTCTGACATCTGATGTTTTGCTCTGAGCATAAACGTCAAATTTGCGACCAGCAGTACGCTGAATCGAGGCAGACACACTGAGGTGCTCGATGAAGGTGGGGATCGCCGCAGTCAGACCGTCATCCGAAACTGCAAGGAAGAGCGGGTGCAGACAACTGTCTAGCGTGGATGGATGAACGACAAAAGGATACTCGAACTTGGCAGGCATTGTTTGCGCAGTGTCAGCAAGGATAATGGTGCCAGTCGAAGCCCCAGGACCGGATCGAACATCAATCAGATTTGCAAAGGTAGGACCATACTCGAGACCAACGTCTCTGAGCTGCTCGTAGAAACTTTCCACATCGACCTTTGACTCGCTCATGGACGAGATGAGTGATGCTTTGCTCTGGTAATCAGCTTGAGTTTCCGCGATGACAGTCTCACCATCGACCTCGCTGATCTTGCCAGGCTTTTCTGTCGAGATCAGACCGCGGCAGTGTTCAGTCCAGACATCGGTACTGCTGACAGAGAAGATGCAGAACTCTTGCCATACATTCGAAGTTGCTTTGGCGCTCTCATTGTAAGGCCGCAGTGTGATCATTGTCTCCATCTCTGGACCTTCCTCTGGGACTAGCAGAGCAGCACCAATCACAACGTTGCGAAGAGAGAATGCTTCGACGTGAACATCAGAGTCACTGGCTGATTGGGCTGCTGCTTCGATCGCCATTGCGATGAATCCGGCGGCAGGGTAGACCATATTGCCCTGGACTTTATGGTCTCTGATCCAAGGATTCTCACTTGCTCTCAGGACATTACGCCACCTGGGCTCGATGGAGTTTGAGTTAATATCACGAACACCGAGCAGGTCTGTCCTTGGATGCTTTCTGTTCTTGTAGCTGTTGGAGATGCGAGACTCGGTCCATAGAAGATTGGCGTGATTCCAGGCGTACGGTGGAAGATCGACGAGCACTTTGCTAGCCTTTCTGCCTACGGCTCCTCTGATGGCAGAGAAGTCGATGTTGTAACCGTGTTCGAACAGTTGACAAACCAAGCTAAAGACAGAGTCTTCCGCATCTATCCCTCTGAGCAATGCGGAGAAATACGGTGGCTTGGCTTTGTCCATGACCGGATTTGCTTTGACAATCTGCTTGATTGGTCCGGCGAGCGCGGAATGAGGACCAATCTCGACCGTGATATCGACTGCAGTGGGTGCTGTACGTCTACGTCTCTCCCTGAGCGCTTTCTTGTCAAGATAAAGTGCTTTGATCGAGTCAGCGAATTTCACTTGGCCGACCATGTTGGCAACCCAATAGTCCGCGTGTAACTCGTTTGTAGTGAGACGTTCACCGGTGACCGATGAGTAGAACACAACATCGGATGCAAGCTTGGGTTTGATGTCCTGTATGGCGGCTTTATACTGGTCGGCAACCAGCTGCATATGGTGCGAGTGATAGGCGACCTCGACAGCGAGTTTTCTTGCAAATATACCCTTGGCTTCGAGGGTGGCGTGAAGCTCATTCACTGCGACTGTATCTCCAGAGATTGTGATGCTTGAAGGGCTGTTCACACAAGCAATCACTGCCTTGCCTGATTCGAGCTCTGCAAGGTATGGAGTGGCGTCATTAGGCGTGAGTCCCACAGCCATCATAGAACCAGGTACAACACTGATATCCTTGATCTCGGAAGCTACAACACCACGGTGGTAGGCCAGTGTAAGTGCATCCTCAAGACTGAGGGCCCCAGCAGCATAGCCCGAAGCAATCTCTCCCGAAGAGTGACCAGTCACAGAAGAAGGCCTGATGCCCCAAGCGGCAAGTACGTCCACGATGGCGACCTGAATTGCAGTGCACAAAGGCTGACTGAACGCCGCAAGATTGACACGACTTGTCTTTGCGTCCAAGCTCAGTTCTGTGATCAAAGACCACTTAGCACCGATCTCTTGGAGGTACACGTCTGCCTGTGTGATGGTGTTGCGAAAGATGGGGTTTGACTTCAGGAGCTCACGACCCATTGCGTGCCACTGGGCACCTTGACCGGTGAAGACAAAGCCAAGAAGAGGAGTCTTACCCGACTTGGTGAACTTCAAATCCTTAGCGGTCAACTTGACCGTGAGATCATCGATGGAGTCTGCGATGAAAGCTCGCCGCCATGCAAATCTCGACCTTCTCTCGTTGAGAGTGTACGAGAGATCTGTCAGGTAGTCGTTAGACTTGGTCGAGCTTCGTAGATGACTTGCCAGTTTGTCCGCGTATGCTACACCGGCTTTTTCGTCGAAAGCAGAGAGAACGAAGACATTCTTTCTGACTTGTACGGGTTCGTCGGGAGTCAGAGGCTCTTCGAGAGTCACAGGCTCTTCATCAACGATGGTTGTTCTCCAAGAGCCAGTAAGTCGTCTGGAGGTCAAGTAGCCTTCAGCTTCGTCCAGGATGGCATGTGCGTTTGTTCCACCATAGCCGAAACTGTTGATCGATGCTCTGCGAACCTGGCTACACTCCCAAAACTGAGGCTCTGTGAGAACCTTCAGTTTCCAGTCCTCTAGAGGAATGCGAGGGTTCGCCTTCTCGAAGTTGCGATTAGGTAAATAAGTCTTGCTCTCGAGCATCATGATCAACTTGACTAACCCAGCCAAGCCGCTAGCACCCTCAAGATGGCCCATGTTAGACTTGATGGAGCCAATCACGAGTGGCTCGTCAGCAGGTCTACCAGGACAGAAAACGCTTGACAATGCTGCAGTCTCGAGGGGATCTCCAGCAGGGGTTCCAGTACCATGCGCTTCAACGTAGGTGGTGTTCACAGGATCCAAGCCGGCTTTCGCATAAACGCTTCGGATCAGAGCCTCCTGGGCATCACGATTGGGAATTGTGATACCATTGGTCTTGCCATCCTGGTTACAGCCTGTATTGCGGATGACGGCTCTAATGGTATCACCATCTCTCAGGGCGTCGTCCAGGGACTTCAAGATGATACACACTGCACCTTCTCCTCGAGCATAGCCGTTGGCACGATGGTCGAATGAGTAACAACGACCATCTGGGGAGAGGAATCTGAGGAATCATCAGTCATGTCAGGGAGTATGGTCAGAATTGACCCACCTCATGGCACTCATGCCAATCATAATCTCGTGACTAAGTAGCACGTTTGAGCCGCCAACAATCGAAATCTTCGATTCACCTGTTCTGATAGTCTGACATCCAAGATGCAATGCCACAAGACTAGCCGAGCAAGCTGTGTCAACAGAGACACTAGGACCTCGACAATCGTAATAGTAAGAGAGACGATTGGACAAGAAAGCGAGCGAAGGTCCAGCTCCAGTAGGTTGATACGTTGGAAGATTCTCAGTGTCTCGGAGTTGCATTTCCGAAAAGTCTCGACAGAAAGATCCGACGAAACAAGATGCATCGCTGCCGACAAGTTTATTCATGGGAATGCCAGCTAACACATCATCAGCCATGTTTTGACGCAGATTGGAGGCTGCTTACCATTCTCCAAGGCCTCGTATGAGGTTTCCAGTAGTAGGCGCTGCTGTGGATCCATGACCTGACATGGTTAGACGGCACTTTATGTAGGGTAGAGTTGTCTTACTCCAACTTCAGAACTTGTCATTCCAAAGAATGGTGCGTCGAAGTGACCCGGCGAGTCCTTGAGAAAGTGACCGCCAACAATGTTTGACTTTCGTGGGCATCAGCAATCGAACCGACAATAGCGTATGGCGACTTACCGTTCCATTACGATTTGCGTCGGGATGGTAGAATGCCTTGTTGTTGTAACGATCTTTGGGAATGGGTTGCCAAGCTTCGCGAGCTTTCTTGACCATCTCGAAGAGGCTTTCGGGATTGGTGGCATCGCCAGCACAACGACAACCAATGCCAATGACAGCGATTGGCATTGTCGCATCGAACGCGGCAGGAGAACTGCTGTCTTCCGTGATCTTGGAAATCATATTGTATAGTAGGTCGTGAAAAGTTCAGCTTGGTTTATAAAAGGCGAGACCAAGACCGGGAACCCTCGTGCGACCTTATATGTTAGTATACGCCATGAGGGTGTGGACTGTTATGGCCAGCGGAGGCCATTGACTCTGCTGAGGGTGTTGGTATCACCCGCCAGCGCTGTCCAGTATCGTATAATGCCACAATCACATGCGGGCTAAACGCAAGACCGCGATCGCATCGAAGGCAGGATATTGATAGCGACGATGCAAGAGGATGGAGGGACTTTCGCTCGCACAGGTAAATGATGCGACTTGCATGCAAGGCGCATATACTTCAATAGTGAATCCTTCCGGCCAGCTGCATGTCATATAAAACGGAGCGATGGATGATTGTTGAGAGAGCATTCGTGTCGTCGGATCCTGCTGGCACAATAGTGCATTGTTGAGAGAGCATTCGTGTCGTCGAATCCTGCTGGCACAATAGTGCATTGTTGAAGACTGCGAGGGCCGAGCGCGCCAACCATGTGTTGGCAAGCGGGCGCGAAGGTACAGCCAAGCGCGCATAAGCTCGAATTGCGCCGCGAAGCTTTTGACCAAGCATTTAAAATCTAGAAGTCTAAAACCAGGCCGCTCACCTGCATGAGGCAGCTGTATGAGCGCCGTTGAGCTCGGCCACTTCAGGGCGGGGGATTGCCCTCGCCGCTTTCGGCCCGGACTTGCGCCAGCAGCAGCAGCAGCAACAGCCCCCGCCCAGACCGACCCAGTCCGTCTCCCCTTGGATCATCATCTGCTATCCCTCGCTTTCGCCGCAAACGAGCTCAATCGCTTGCAGTCATCCCCATCATGGCCAACGAACAACCCCACTACGATCAGGTCTTGGTCGATATCACTGATTATGTTCATGACTTCAAGGTCGAGACTAGTAGTTGCTGGTCAGCAGCCCGTATGGCTCTGATGGACGCTGTTGGTTGTGCCATCGAGAGCCTGCATAAGAACGCGGCCTGCAAGAACATCATCAACGCCGTCCTACTCGACAGTTCGGACATCAATGGAATGCGTTTGCCCGGAACAGATCTCAGGCTGAACCCCATGAACGGCGCTTTTGCACTGGGCACTCTGATCAGATTCTCGGACCACAACGACTCTCTGGGAGGCGCAGAATCCGGACATCCCTCAGGTAGCTACAGACATGGCAAGCTTACTTGTGTTCTGTACTCATATCTCGCAGATAGTCTTGGAGCTATATTGGCAGTCGCAGACTGGATAGACAGAAACGAGCGTCTTGTGACAATCCAAGATCTCCTGGAAGCCATGGTCAAAGCTTACGAAATTCAAGGATGCTTCCAAACAGAAAACGCCTTCCATGCCCACGGTATGGACCATGTCATCTTGGTGAAGGTCGCATCGACAGCTACTGCCTGCTGGCTACTCCGCTTGACCAAGAAGCAGACCATGGACGCTCTTTCTCATGCCTGGATGGACAGTGCCCCCTTACGCACATACCGCTCTTCTCCCAACACCATCTCACGGAAGGGATGGGCGGCAGGCGATGCTTGTATGCGGGCGGTCATGTTTGCAATGTTGTGTCGCTCAGGGGTTGAAGGCGCACCATCGGCTCTGACTGCTCCTCGTTGGGGATTCTACGATAGTGTTTGGCAAAGCGCATCATTCTCGTTACCCAGGCCTTATGCATCATGGGTGATCCAAAACGTGTTTTTCAAAACAATGCCGGCTGAAGGTCATGGCATTTCTGCTGTAGAGGCAGCGATCCAGCTGAGCCATGAATTCCGCTGTCATGATGGAGATCGATGGAAGGACATCGACAAAATTCGAATTCGCTCGACTGCTGCGACTCTTCGAATCATCAGCAAAGCAGGCCCTCTTCACAGTCCGGCTGACAGAGACCATTGTATCCAATTTCTCGTTGCCGTCGCTCTTCTCAAAGGCAGTGCTCCAGAGATCTCTGACTACGCAGATGACGGACCCTGGGCCAACGATCCGAAGGTGGATGACCTAAGGAACCGTATGGTAGTCGTCGAAGAAGAGTCCTTTACTCGAGATTATCTTGACTTGGATCGACGTACAGCTACCAACGCTGTCCAGATCTACTTCAATGACGGTACCGCTACAGAGGACATCATTGTAGAGCACCCGGTCGGGCACAGCAAGAACCCACAAACTCGACCTGCGGTGCAGCGCAAGTTCAAAGACAACCTTGAACACACGTATTCGAAGGACGAGGTCTTATCCATAATCTCCATGATAGAGAACGAACACCTGCCAGTGCACGTTTTGACCGATCTATTGGCGCGAAGATCCAGTAGTGGGGTGCTGAGCAGACTCTGAGGGTTACGCGAAGCCACACAAGTAGCAACAAAGCTCACATAGCCCAGTATATAAACATTTGTACTCGAAGATTGAATCACAGTCATAGTTTAATTGTTGATCGTTGTCAATGTCGCTTCTAGGTGAAAACAATTGTTGTGAGATCGATATCACCACCGGATATGACATAACCCAACCTGCAAAAATAATGGTAGGGTCATGCCCTCGATACAACGACCAGTAGATGTGTAGGGTATCTTCCACTCTCGCTCGTAACAGAATTAATCAAGGCTTACCAGCGTAACTTTTCGTTGACTGTGGCAAGATTGGGGATGTTAATCCTTGGGAAATCTGACTGGTGAGAGAGACTATATGATTGAGGAAAATGTTATGCTGTATCTAGTAGGACATAGTCGCGACATACGTTTCAACTACAGCTTGGAGAATACAGGCTTCTCCCTACGCAAAGACGACATCACCGCCGTTCCCACATCCTGCGACTGCACATATGCAGCATTCCACACTTTGGTATAGCGGAGACCTGCAATGTTGGAGTCAGTAGAGATTCAGGTCCGCAGGCGGTGATTTACTTGCTGTTTGTGACCGAATTTTCTCTACTATGGTTAAGCAATTCTTTGGTTCCTTGCACAGCAACAGGACTCTTGGCTGCCCAGAGCTTTGCCATACAGAATGCCAATTCAAGGGCGGCAGGTTTATCCGCAGCAACAAGACTAATTAGTCCCTCTCTAAGTGCCTCATCGGCACCGAAATTCCTTGCGCTGTAGCAGATATCTTTGATCCAGGTTGAGCTTCCGATGATCTTTGGCAATCGATTCAGGACCCCGATGTCAGCAGCCAGACCAATGTCGACTTCCTTGACTGCCAGAGTGACATCCGAAGTACAGATTCTCACGTCGCAAGAGGTTGCAATGTCTAGAGCGAACCCGATGGAAAGGCCATGTAAGACGCAGATCACAGCTTCGCAATCGTCAGTAAATCTCTGTTCCGGCGAACATGCCAACTCACGTTTTTCACATCTTTCAATCGCTCCAACACAGCGTTGAAGTTCATCTACGTCTCTTCGAATGCGATTTGCTTTTCGTCCAGGATCAAGACCAGCATCTTCTCTGAGAATACCGGTCGTGGTGGCCTCGTGTACATCCAGACCGGCAGAGAAACCGCGGTCTCCCATACCGGACATCACGACGACTCTGACATCCGGATCATATGAGAGACGTTGGTACACAGCTTCCAGCTCGAGCCACATGGCACGAGTAAAGGTGTTTAGACGATCTGCGCGGTTGATCTCGACGTGAACCACATATTCAGCGATGTTCGAGAGCTTGAAGAACTTGAAATCTGGTGTGGTAGACATGATGTTGTCAGAGTGTTATTCTGGACACAGTGGATGAAGTAATAAGAAAGAGCGATGGTCGGGGTATTCACAAACGTTTGGATCGGAGCTGACTACCAGATCACTACGGTCGCTTAGACCATGCCAGATTGCGAGCACGTGTTTGCTGCACGATACCAGACATTGTACTAGTCCGGATCCGGAGCTTCGGAGGGCAAGTTTTGACGCACGTAGACATCAGAAGCAATCGCGAGAGGATCCTCTTCGATCTACCTTGGTGGTCGCGATCGATTGCATACATCACAAATCGATACTCAACAGATTCTTTGTTCTTCCCCTTCAGATTACGATTATCGTCTGCAATCTGACAATGGTTGAGATCGATAACTCTGGGAGGAGTGTGCTGGATTTCAGCTGTCGGATCTTTTTTTTGCCATGTACATATATCCATTATCCGGCGTAGTTCTCACAACATCCATCTTTCCTCATTTGACTTTTCGACTGCTACAGAACATGCATTCTACACGCTACCTCTGTCTTCACGGCGCTGGAACAAATGCTGACGTATGTAAATCGTGTCTCGGCTGTTGGGATATTTACTTAAGACTACCAGATTCTCCGTGCTCAGATGGGCACCGTATTGAGAGAAGTGTCGAAGGAAGGCAAAATTGAATTCGTCTTTCTCCAAGGCGAGATCCCTTCTGAACCTCATCCTGCCATCGCAGACGTGTACGAGGGCCCTTTCTTCAACTGGTTCCCCTGGCCGCCCAAGCTTGGCCAAGAGCGCTACAAGCAAACTCTCCAGGACGCCTACGATCTCATCTATGAGTTTGTCAACGAAGAGGGTCCTTTCGATGGCATCATTGGCTTCTCTCAAGGCGCCACTCTGGCGTATATGTCGTTGCTGAATCATGCCAAACTCAATCCTTACGATGTGCCTCTTTTCAGCCGCGCCATCTTCATCTGTGGAATGCCTCCGTTTAGGTTGACAGACGACTCGGAGATATTGCTGGAGACAGATATACAGACGCTCGACATACCCGCCGTCCATGTGATGGGCGCGCAAGACGAGGTTCTGGATCTCTCCATGGCGCTGGCAGAATTGACCAATCCTGCCCTCTCGCTCAACATCGTTCACACGAAGGGGCACGACATCCCAAAGTCAAAAGATTTTACTTCGCAATTGGTCAAGGGAATGGAACAGCTGGACAGAGCGGCTAATGCATTAAGCATGTGATTTGTTGACAAGATGGCTGGGAAACACGCAGTGTAAACCGCTTATCATAGACCAATTAACTTATTGTTTTTGAGACCTGCATCTGTTTCAGTCCTGCATCAATAGACCGGGAAAGGTTGAGAAGCGTGATTTTGCTGCGAAGGAGTCGAGATCCTGAGCAGCTGTAGCAAGCGACGTTGACATGGCCAATGGGCGCGCATCCAATTCAGGGCAACTCACGGCGAACGTGGCTCGCATAAAACCCGCCGATACACTTGTATCACGGCTGTATTGTCCCGCGGGCGATGCGCCAATGGCGAGCGTTCCACAATCAGGGTCTTACCATGACTGGCAGGTGCGAATCGATGTCCCACCGAATACACGATTAAACCGGCCGGCAGTGTTGAGTGCAGATTGCGCGTTTCCGGACACTAATCCCTTACAATCGCCGGGACCGGGCATGCACGAGCTTAAGATACCCGACGGACCCTGCACGCCGCTAATCGACCGGTAAGAGGCAGCGTTCCGCGCCGGGAATCTTGTTCCCAGCTAAGCTTTTCAAACAGATGCATTGGTGGCTTTTGCGTTGAGCTTAGTTCTCACTCAATACTGAATCCTTCACGACTTACATGCAGCTAGCTGTGAGATCGTGCATGACCGCGATGAAGCTTCTCGATGCGGGCAATGGACTGAGCGACTGAGAGCGATCGGGGAAATCTGCTCGTAGCCATTGCGCAAGTCTCTGATCACATGTCGCGTATCGGAACCGATAAAGTAATAAAGTCTTGTCCTACGCCTGGGGAAAACACAGGCACTTCACCAGTCTCCAGCAATCATGTCCAACGGTACTTTACTTGTCACGGATTCCAGAACCAATGCCACCATCGAAATTCCAATCACAAACAATGCTGTCAAGGCCACAGACTTTAAGGTCTTGAAAGCACCAAAGACGGGTGCCGTGCTGCCTGGTCAAGCAGGCGCAGGCCTCCGCCTCTACGACCCCGGTCTTAACAATACCGCTGTCGTCGAGTCCAAGATCTGTTTCTCGTGAGTAGAAAGACGTCCCTTGAGCGAAACACATGACTGACATGATCACAGAGACGGCATTCGCGGCATCGTTCAGTATAGAGGCCAGCCAATTGAACGTCTACGCGATTGTGAGTACGAGGACTTGATTCACCTGTTCGTCTGGGGTAGCGTGCCGGCCCCTGACCAGCAAGCCACACTGAAGCGCCAACTTAACGCGCACATGCTTAATATACCCCCAGAGGTCATCAGTGTAATTCAGTCATTCCCGTGAGTGCCTTTTATAATCTTTGCCCCGATATGATCTAATGTCAACAGGTCGGATTCAACACCCTTCCCCATGATTATGGCTGGTCTGTCCACGTACCTTGGATGCGACACATCAGCCATTCCAACCTACGTTGGTGGTAACATCTACCACGGCGACTTGGAGGCCACGGACAAAGCGATTCTGCGAACTCTCGCTGCCTATGCAGTATGCTCTGGTCTCGCTGTAAGCCATCGTACCGGCAAGGAATTCTGCATGCCGCGCGCAGACTTTGGCTTCCTCGAAAACCTGTTGCTCATGGCCGGAATCGTGGATACAAAGACCGGTCTCCCCGATCCAAAGCATGTCAACGCTGTGCAGAGGACTTGGGTTCTCAGCGCCGAGCATGGCCCGACAAACTCGACTTCTGCTCTGTTGCTCACCGCGTCCAGTCTCTCTGATCCAATCTCGTGTTTGATCAGTGCTGTCTCCACAGCGTACGGTCCGCTGCACTTTGGCGCGACTGAAGTGGCTTATCGCGATTTCGAAGCTGTCGGTGAGCCGGCCAATGTGCCCAATCTGATTGCCAGCGTCAAGGCTGGAGATCGAAGACTCTATGGCTATGGTCATCGTGTATACAAGACGGTCGACCCCAGGGTTCTTTTTGCAAAACAAGTTCTGGAGGACCTGAATTCTGACGACAACCCTCTTCTTCAGGTCGCTTACGAGATCGATAGGGTAGCGGCGACAGACGACTACTTCATTTCTCGTCAACTCAATGCAAATGCTGATCTGTACGGTGTATGCATATACATTGCTCTGTAAGTCGTTATCTTTTGACATGCTACTGAGATTCCCTCTAATCGTCAATCGCAGGGAGTACCCACCAGAGATCGTCCCAGTCATGATGTTCGCATCCAGAACGGCTGGACTGATGGCCCACTTCCGCGAAGCGATGAGTAAGTCAGATCTGACAGTATCAGAATTCCAGAAACTGACTCTTCACAGCACGAAGAAACCAGATTTGGAGACCTCAGCAGATCTACGTGGGAGATTATTATCCGGAGGAGGCCGCGCAACCTCGCCTGTAGACGAGCAAGTTAGGCGGCGATGGCGGGAATGTGAATATAGCCGTAGAATCTCCATAGTCTCAAGTCACGATATTTAGTATGCATCTTGGAGTTGTTGAGACCCAACGATAAAGTCTGTAGATATAAGAAGCCTGCCCGACCCTCGAGATTTGGTCCCATCGTTCTTTCCATCACTCAACAAACAATGCATACGGAAACGGAAGATTCACATGGGGCTACTGCCCAGCTTTGCGAATGGATCGATCGCGTTCAATACTCCGATATTCCGCCAGAAGTCCTGGACAGAGCAAAATATATCATCCTCGATGGCATTGCGTGTGCTCTTGTCGGTGCTCACCTGCCCTGGTCCGAAACCGCGGCCTGCATCATCAAGGACATGGAGGCTGCAGGACCTTGTCAAGTGTTTGGACATGAGATGGTACGATGCCCCTAGCCAACATTTGAAAGTTTCCTTGCACTAATTTAATGCAGAGACTCGGCCCGCTGGCTGCAGCTATCTTAAACAGTACGTTCATACAGGGCTTCGAACTGGATGATTATCATAGCGAGGCTCCTCTTCATTCAAACGCAATTATTTTGCCTGCTGTCCTTGCAGCTGCCGAGTTGATGAAGTCGAAAGCAAAGACCGTCTCGGGCTTGTCACTTTTGCTCGCAACAATTGGTAAGAGAGACCCCATCGTTGGCTTTCTGCTTGCTTCAGCTCATCCTCCACATAGTCGGATATGAGGTCGGCCCCCGCGTTGGGCTCAGTCTGCACGGCACACATATGCTGAGTCGAGGATGGCATTCTGGTGAGCAACAAACTTTGTACCTTGACACCTCTGCAGCAGATGTTGATGCAAGGTCCAGGAGCTGTCTTCGGACCATCTGCATCCGCCGCCGCAGTCGGCAAACTCCTCGACTTGAACGCCACCGCTCTCGAAGACGCTCTAGGAACTGCCTGCACGCAAGCCTGTGGCCTGATGTCCGCGCAATACGGGAGCATGGCCAAAAGAATGCAGCATGGATTTGCGTCTCGAAATGGTTTGTTTGCCGCACTGCTTGCCCAAGACGGATACACGGGTATTCACTCTGTCTTTGAGCAACCGTATGGGGGCTACTTGCAGGCGTTTAGTGCGGGATCGACGAGGGATCCGCCGTATTTGGTTGATGAGTTGACGAAGCTGTTGGGTCAGAGGTGGCATACGCAGAGTATCAATGTCAAGCCTTATGCGTCGATGGCAGCTACGCATGGTGTTATTGACAGCATTGCTGCGCTGCAAAGCCAGTATCCTGAGCGGTTCCATGACTTGAACAAGATCGACCGTATCCTTTTGGAGATTTCAGAGCCAGCTTACAAGTAAGACTTAGCAACCACACGGAGAATTGTCTCATCTAATGAGCGTTCACAGACATGCATGGTGGGAGCCTAAACGCCCCTTTACCGCCACAGCCGCCCAGATGCACGCCGCCTACGTCGCGGCAGTTCAAACTCACGATAAACAAGTCCTACCAGCTCAATTCGCAACCGACATGCTCAACCGCGATGCCATCTGGACACTCATAGACAAAACTCACTGTCTACACATCAAAGACTTTGATGCTCCTGATCACCCTTGGAGACAGCGAGTCACCATCACTTTCTCGGATGGAGTTCAAATGTCGCAATTGACGGTCAAGCCAAAGGGCGTTGATCCTGCATTGACTAATGAGGAGATTGTGGATAAGTGGCGATCGATGGCACGGGGGGTTATGCCGGCGAGTAAGATTCAGGAGATTGAGTCTTTGGTGCTGGGGATGGATGGGCTAGATGATGTGACTACGTTGACCAAGGCGCTTAACTTTACGGTCAAGAATCCTCTGGATTTGGGTAATGAGGCAGAGTCTAGGACTGGACGGCAGGTGATGGCTAATTTGTGAGCTTTGAATCGTGCACGCAGCGGTGTGAGAAGTCATATCTTGGCATTGACTTCTCTATGTTCTATGATTTTACATACTGGATTTACGACTTTTCAATGCTCATTGTATTCTCAACTCATTCACCTCTTATCTCCTGAATCGAAGATAAAACGCTAGGAAATACCGACTTCGTCCTCCGTCGTCAAACCATCCCTGCGATCAAACATGGACGACTGGAAAAGAGGCACTCAGTCACAAAAGCATGGCATATCTTGAGGTTGATACTTTGATTTGAACATTGAAACATACATGTACAGAGATATTCTATCATTCCGCTCTCCCAGCATTTTGCTCAACGGCTAATCCGTCGTCGCTGCGTAAGGACTCTTCGCTCTGAGTGCCTCGCCTTTGTACCAAAGCAAAATCGGGAACGGTACCCCCAGAGCAATGGCTATGAAAGCAAGCAAACTCGTACCCCACCCATAACCCAGAGCGGCATAAAGCTGTTTGACAAGCAGAGGGAAAACAAAAGCAAGAATACATCGCCCAAGCGCGACTGCAGCCATAGCAGATGCAGCATACGTCGTATACGCATCCACCAGGTAAGTCTGAATGCACTGAAACCCAAAGATACCACCGCAAGAGTAGATCAAAACGCCAATATTAGGCACAATCCAGTGTGTGTGTGCTTGAGCACTCCAGCCATACCAAAACAAGCCAATGGGTACGAGAAGACTACCTGCAAACATGAGCGGCAGTCGAAACTCGGGTCGGCCAACTCCGTTGTTTTTCTGCTTGAGGTTGCGGTAGATGCGATCGTTGAAGAGGGCGGAAATCTGGGCTCCGATGATGGGGCCGAGGCCGAGAGAGATGTAGTTTAAGCCAGAGATGCCGCGGGATTCGTGGTATTCCTCAACCCAGAGGTCTGAGAAGTGCCCTAGCACGAGGTCTATGGCTTGTGTTAGCAATGACAACAGTGATGACCGCGATGATGATGCTTACAGTATAGACCATACAGATATGCCATGTAGAGACCGAGACACTGTACGATGGGCTGAGTGCCGATAAGGATGAACGGGCGCGAGAGACCTCTTTTCAGTGCGGTCGGAAGAGTCAGGTTCGCGCGCTCTTGAACAGTCTGATAGCGGTCATCGCCAGTCTCCTTGCGCAATTTGGCTGCCTTGCGACGGAGAAGACATGGAGCGAACGTCTCCTTCAGGTACTTGAGAGCAGCAAGCTGGATGAAGACATCAACGATAGAGGGGGCCCAAAGTGTCCATCTCCAAGTCGTACACTGAGCAATCCAAGCACCTGCGATCGGTCCTACGGCGGGACCAATCAATGGCCCTAGAGAGTAGATTGAGAGAGCTGCGCCACGTTCTTCGGCGAGCCATACGTCGCCGAGCACGCCTCCACCGACCTGTTCTTGTTAGCTTTGTCTTGTCTGGAACAAGATGTGAGACATACCGCGAGAGGGGCACTACCGCCAAGTCCAGACAGGAAGCGGAACGCAATCAGCTCACCGGTATTCCTGCTGAATCCGGCCACCGTATTGAAGATGAGATAGAAAAGGTTGGCGAGCTGCAGCAGCCTCGATCGGCCGTAGATCTCGGACAGTGGGCTCAGAAACAGAGGACCGAACGCGTAGCCGAGCACAAAAACACTGTAGCTGATCTGGCTGACTGCAAAATTTGTGATTCCAAAGCTTTCCGAGATCTTTTGGGTAGCAGGAGCGACGATGGAAGATGACACGGGCGAGATGAAGGTGAAGGACGCCACAGCCTATGGATTCCAAACATGTCAGCGGTGCGCGAAGATATGTTTGCACGGGAATATGCTCACAAAAGTCGCAGCCCATTTTTGTTGCCTTGTCCAGTTTTTGGGATTTTCTGGGTCGTCGGTACCATTCCATGTGACCAGGAAGGGATCCTTCTCAGGGTCTTTTGCATTATTACGGCTCGACTCGCTGCCGGATGGAGACAGTCCTGATAGTCGGCCTTCTTCAGCGGCCTTGGCGTTGTCGCTTGTCATGGTGGCTTCAAGACTCGATGCAGTGATTATGGGCCGGCCTGAGAAAGATAATAGACAATGAGTAGGTGTGAACAGAGATTACGCTGAGAATAGACAACGAATATATGGAAGGAAGCCAAGGTCTGACGTACATCACATTCCTGGGGGGCGCCCTGCTCTCACGGTCTTCTTAGACGAGAGCGGGACCGGGCCTGTACCGGCGAGACAAGCGGGCTCTCCTGATTGGTCCGCCTCCTTCATCCCTATGCTACCCATGGGTCCATTGTGTTCGTGCATCGACGAAGTCGCAGTGCAATGTTCGATCCAAACACCGAGTCATTCGATGCGTACCAATGCTGGGGATTCCGACAGACGTAGAATACAGTGAAGGTCGGTGGTCAATCATGATGATGCACGTCGACCATGAACGCCCTTCAACACAACATTAGCAGTCTTGCACGACGGTGGGACGACCGTGAAATTGTCGTTTGGGTGAAAATTACTCCTTCGAAATGACACTCTCGTGCTTGGCTCTCTGGGCGCGCCGGTGTGAGCACGTTCCAGGTACCTCGACCATGGAGATCGATACTTTTGTGAGTCTGGTGAGGAAGCTGGAGGTTTGAATGTTCGCTGCGTTTCCTACCATCGAGCGATCGTGGGACCTCATCGAGAAAGCCGGACATGGATGAGGCCGGTCCGCATGTTAATTGTTATTTCTGCAACTCTCTTTGGAGACTGAATGTCCTGCGGTGTTCAATGGCCGGGAAGACAGCCCATGTGTTGGAGTAGTTATTTAGGTCTTCTTGTTCAAGTTTTTGGAGTAGTCAGACCTTCTAAATCCTCTCCAAGTTTTGCATCAATACGGAAGCTACGTCGCGATGAGCTCTCCAATCTTCTTCGTCGATTATAGCTTGGTAATATGGCCGGTCATCATCTACTCCGTGAGTACCAGTGTCTTCCATCCACCGTCGTATCTAATCCCCACCAGGGCTATGTGGTCAGCCAAGTGATCTATCGTGCATTCGTGCACCCTCTTTCCAACTATCAAGGCCCATTCTTGTACGCTGTCTCTTATGTTCCTTACTATCTCGATATGTGGCTTGGACGCATGCACACCGTAGCGAAAGACCTCCACGATACGTACGGCGATGTGGTCAGGATCAGTCCTACCCAGCTCTCGTACAACACCGCTGGCGCCTGGAAGGACATCTATGGCCACAGACCAGGAAAAGCTCAACTTGAAAAAGACCCAAGTTTCTACTTCAAGCAGAAAGAAGGTCCTTCGATCTTCATCTCGGATGATGCTGACCATAGCCGCATGAGGCGTCTTGTATCTTATGCATTCTCCACACAGGCTCTCCTTGAACAGGAGCCGCTGATCATGAAGTATGTTAATCTTCTCATCAGCCAGTTATGGTCAGAGGTCAGAGGTCCCAGCCATGGCACCTTGGACATCGTCAAATGGTTCAACTGTACCACTTTTGATATCATCGGCGATCTAGCCTTTGGAGAGCCCTTTGATGCAATCCAGAATGGAGAGTACCATCCCTGGATCACCAATATCTTCAAGGCTGTTCAGGCAACTCAGATGATCAGAATCACCAACGCCTTCCCCATTGTCAAACTGCCCCTGAAGTTCAAGGCCAAGAAACAGCAAGGCTCGGGTGATGCGAGAGCGGAACACCAGAGATATAGTGCGGAGCTCGTTGCTAGACGCATGGCAACTGAGACGAGCAGAAAAGACTTCATGTCCTATATCTTGCGGTATAACGATGACAAAGGCATGAGCGTAGCTGAGATCAACCAGACTGCCAAAGTGCTAGTTCTGGCTGGTTCTGAAACTACAGCGACGCTGTTATCAGGCGCGATCTATCATCTTCTCAAGAACCCGCTAACCTTGGAAAAGCTTGTCGATGAAGTTCGGAGCTCTTACGAAAGTGAACATCACATCAACCTTGTCTCGTCTGCAAAACTGCACTATCTACAGGCTGTGCTTGACGAGGCCCTGCGGCTCTGTTCGTTTATCACTCACTTCTGCTTCAAGCTCTCCTCGCTGACTCTTGCCTAGATCCTCCAGTGCCTGGCACAATGCCCCGTCGTACTGGTTCAGAAGACGAGTTCATTCTCGGACGTCACGTACCCGCAAGAGTGAGTGATCATGATATGACTGCCAGGACCTTGCTGAAGCTTCCTACAGACTTCGGTCGGCGTCAGCCAATGGGCCGCCAACCGCTCTGCCTCCAACTTTGTCGACCCCGATTTGTTCATCCCAGAGCGCTGGCTGGGCGATATCAGGTATCAGAATGATCAAAGAGCAGCCGTTCAGCCTTTCTCCGTCGGCCCACGCAATTGCCTCGGTAAGAAGTAAGTGCTGCGACGCCTATAACACCATACCCTGTCGCTGACATGTCAAAACAGTTTGGCTTACTCTGAGATGAGAACGATCATGTCTAAGATACTGTGGAACTTTGATCTCGAGCTTTGCACGGAAAGCAGTTTTTGGATGAAGCAGAAGGTGTTCTTCATGTGGGACAAGCCCAAGCTGATGGTCAAGCTCAAGCCACGGATGTAATGGTTTAGAGAGGAACGAGCAGATTAGCTTGGGCCAAGGGAGAGTTGAGTCTATGTTTTCATATAATGAGTTAGTATATAGTTTAAGGAAAAGAGTCTTGTTTGAGCGACTAAAAAACACACTTCTTTCGAAAAGAGCCATGAAAGAGCGATGGAGATGCAGCAACGATTTTGTAACGATCGTTGTAGCGCGTCTCTTTGTGCATCCTCACATCTCGGAACTACCAAGATTGAGAATCGTGTGCATACCTTGTATGCCGCCTTGTAAGCCTCGTGAACTCCCTTTGGAGAGAGATGTACTGTGTCTGGCGCACGTCATAGACAACCGAAGCGGACTGTCAAGCACTGACAAGCTTTGCCAAGCCAACCAGCCGCGAACCGATCTGTACTTACTCAACAAGCAAAACAAGGCCCCCTACCCGCCGGAACCGGCCAAAATGAGCGTCACAGGCTTGGATAGCCGGACTGCCCGCACAACATCACTGATGACGCTGTTATTGTCGCACCCAAGCTTTTGTCATGCATATAAAACAAGCATTTGGCGCTCCTTCAGCTGGATCTATCATCAGTACAGCCTCAAATTCAAGTTAATCTCCATCATTCCACCATGTCTCAACACAGCAAGGTTTGTGTACCTACTCCTCTGGGCTCCGCATAACCGTACTGAATGCGTCCAGGCATGCTGCACTATTGCTCCAAAGGCTTCTCCAGAGTACGAGAGCAAGGGCGAATTCGTTGGATACGATGGCTTCAAAACATGTCAGTCGCGATTGAAATGTGGAAAAGATCTACTACTGACACAATACAACAGACAAAACAGGACCTTCGACAGCCAAAAAGGCCATTCTGGTCGTCTACGACATCTTCGGCTTCAGCCCTCAATCCTTGCAAGGCAGTGATTTGCTCGCCTACGGCAACGACAAAGAGCAGTACCAAGTCTTCGTTCCTGACTTTCTGCTTGGCCAATATGCAGACCACACCTGGTTCCCCCCAGACACTGCCGAGAAGGGCCAGGCCATGGGTGCTTTCTTCCAGGGTCCTGCAAACCCTGTGACTACTGTCCAGAAGATACCAGGTCTGGTGAAAACTATCAGTGAGAGCAGTTCGGGTTCAATTGAATCTTGGGCGATATTGGGCAAATGCTGGGGTGGCAAGGTAATTCGCAACTTACGCCGGCCAAGCTATGACTTTGGATTCCTGTTGACTTCTTTGATAGATTGTGTCGTTCTCTTGCGGTGACGACACGCCTTTCAAGGCTGCTGCTGAAGTTCACCCTTCAATGATCGATCCCAACGACGCTCCTGGTATCAAGATCCCCATTGCAATCCTGGCATCGGGCGACGAGAATGCAGATGATGTGAAGAACTTTGTCGATGCTCTCAAGGTGCCTCACTATTCGGAGACGTTCGCCGACCAGGTCCATGTAAGTCATTCTGTCGGGCTCCAAAGTGATATTTGAATTTTTACTAATCATTTTAACAGGGTTGGATGGCTGCCCGGTATGTGAACTCTTGATCGAACCACAGAAATCTCTTACTGACACTCAGAATAGCGGCGACCTTGTGAACGAGCGTTCAAGAGAGGAATATGAGCGTGGATACGCCACCCTGCTCAAGTTCTTGTAAGTGAATCAGTTCTGGGTTCAACATGGATGACTGACTTTCCCAGCGCCGAGCATTTCTGAGCGGGCAAGACGAGCCCACATCCTCAGTGCCGGTGACGGCACATCTCAATGCCGGTGGAGAATGCGGGTACCTTGACCGGCCAGGAGATGATTTTGGTAGACCCGGCCGCCCTGCATATAGGCAGATATACATCACGTGAAGATAGCATCACTAAATCCTAAGACTGGCAGAATATATAAGACATCATATTGCCCCGACTCCCAGTGCCATCCCCTTCCTCAAGCCTCACCTCTGTGATAAAAATGTCTGACCTCAGATCGTCGTTGAATGGCAAGATTGCTCTCGTTACCGGCGGAGGCTCAGGTATGTGACGTGTTATTTCTAACACAACCGAAGCTAACCCACGATCACAGGCATCGGCTTGGGCTTCGTACGAATGGCAATCGAAGCAGGTGCAAGAGTGGTAGTAGCTGACTTGCGTCTTTCCGAAGCACTTGCAGCAACAATCGGAGCTTCAAACGAACAGGCAAAGTTTGTCCATACCGATGTTAGAAAGCGCGGTGATCTCGAAACCGCCATTGGCTTCTCGCTGCAAATCTTTGGCGATGTTCCGGATATCTATGTTGCCAATGCTGGAGTTTTTGAACCTGTGAGTGACCGCCAAGCACGAATATACCAGAGCGCGAAAGCTAACGAGTCTCCAAAGCAATGGTCAAACTTTTGGCTAGATACAGAAGGAGACTCGTACGCAACAGCCGAGATCAGTGAGCAAGACAGCCGCAACCGTCGTCAACTTGACTTCTAACCTCGCCGCAGACTTTACACACCCTCTCAAACTGACAAGACTTGCCACTCGCGCTTTGCTCGGTGCGAAGAAGCCAGGAGTTGTCGTGCTTGTCTCCTCAACAGTAGGACTTTCTTGGAGTTACCCTGCCGCCCTTTACTGTGCCACCAAGCACGCTTTGATCGGTTTCACTCGCAGTATGGCTCCTGCCGAGAGCTTGAATGGAGTCAAAGTCGTTTGCCTGTGTCCAGGGTAAGTATCAAATTTGGTAATCCCTATCAACTCCTGCATATCTGACCGTGTTCTCCGCGCAGAATCGTAGACACGCCACTTTGGCAGACTCGGGAAGGCCTATCCGAACAATTCTCAGTCAGCGATAAAGTGTCCATCACACCAGAAGACGTGGCTGCGGCGATGGTCGATTTGATCGTCAATGAGAAATACAAAGGAGGGACGGTGTTGAAGGTCGATAGAAGCGGAGTCAAGGTAATCGAGTTCAGCGGAAAGACAAGGGATTTGAAAGATGAGGATCTTGTAAAGGTGAAGGATCGGAGCTTTGCACCTGTGCAAGATTTGCTTGCGGCCGAGATTGGGAGACCTTGGGGTGGAGTTTCGGATCGTCTGTAATTCATCTGCAAGCTAGTCATATCAATTGTTCAAGACACATGCGATTGGAGATACAATTTCTAGTGTCATCTAGGCATCGACTGTTGCAAGAATCTGCGGCGATCCATCATGTCGCCGGTCACCGTTGTCTACTGCATGCACATGCCGGAGTATGGATGAGCTTCGCCGGTAACGGTCGCGTGCAGCACCGGCGAGTCGAACCTGCTCCCGTCCAACAGAAGAACGGGCAAAGATCTGGCGATCTCCCTCGCATCTGAGCCGAGCTGGGCGGCGGATTCGGAAACCATCTTGCGACGCCTTGTAGTCACGCTTCTTCAGGCTGGGACTATATGTATATGTACGTATAAATTCAGTTGGTAACTCAGAATGTTGTACCAACACACAACGCGCGGCACCATCTCTTTGAGCAGATCTGCTCTCAATCATGAGTGGCCTTTCAAATGCTATCGACATGCCAGATGTCGACCTTTGGGATTTCCTCTTCGAGCAGCCGAAAGAATTCTCCGAAGACAAGAGTATCGCCATAACCATGCATCCCCCAGAATCCAACCGTAAGACTAACCCCGGAAAACAGAAATCTACATCGACTACACCACCTCGGCAGCCTACAGCTACAAAGATGTCAAACAGCAGGCAACCAAGTTAGGCTCCCTCGTCTCCTCCAAATGGTCTTGGCAAAAAGGCGATGTCCTAGCAATCTTCGCCTCCAATTCCATCGAAATTCCCTCCGTCATCTGGGGAACACACTACTGTGGCGGCACAGTTGCACCCATGAATCCAGCCTATACAGTCGAGGAACTCACAAGACAGCTTCTACTCAGCAAGACAAAAGCTATTTGTACGCAAAAGAAATTTTTGCCTACTGTTAGAGAGGCTGCGCTTGAAGCTGGTGTTAGTCAAGCGATGATTTTCTTAATTGGGCCTGAGGAGTGTCCTGGAACTGACTCTTTGCATCATATATTGAAGTTGGATGTGGCGATTGTGCCTCGCTCGCCGGTGTCTAGTCCAGAGCAGGATTTGGCGTTCTTGGTGTTTTCGAGTGGGACTACTGGGTTGCCTAAAGCAGTCAAATTGACGCATCGGAACGTCGTGGCGAATATACTGCTACTGAAAGCCGCTGAGACTGAGATTAGCCATGCTGGTGGGCCTCAAGGACAGGGCGATCGACTGTTGGCTCTACTTCCCTTTTTCCACATCCTGGGTGAGTCACAGATTCATCTCAGCTTTGACATCTCTCACTAAACCTGAATTTTTGTAATAGGTCTGATGGCGGTCGTTCATTCATCGATCTACAATGGCCTCCAAGTCGTCGTCATGGACCAATTCAAACTCGACACTTTCTGCCAAGCAGTACAGGACTATAAGATTACATATATCCACGTCGTCCCACCGATTGTACTGCAGCTTGCAAAGTCATCAATCGCAGATCGCTATGATCTGTCCAGTATACGTATGCTGGTCTCGGCTGCGGCACCGCTGTCCGCTGAACTGGTGCATGAGCTCTGGAGAAGGCGCTCTATCAAGGTGATTCAGGGATACGGGCTCTCAGAGACTTGTGCTGGTACTCATATGCAGGTAAAAATTCCAATGGACATCTAAAATAACAAGAAAGATACTGATTACAAGTAGGCATGGCAAGACTGGCAAACAAGCATCGGAACAGTCGGCAAACTCTTCCCCACCCTCCAAGCACGAGTCGTTTCCGCCGACGGCCACGACGTCTCTCCCGGCGAGCAAGGCGAGCTCTGGCTCAAAGGCCCCACCATCTTCCCCGGCTATCTCAACGACCCAGATTCCACAGCCCAATGCTTCAGTCCCGATGGTTTCTTCAAGTCCGGCGATATTGGCGCCGAAGATGCAAACGGCAATTTCAGAATCACAGATCGCATCAAGGAATTGATCAAGTACAAAGGCTTTCAAGTTGCGCCCGCAGAGCTTGAGGGTATTTTACTGGGTCATCCGTTGGTAGCTGATGTTTGTGTGATTGGTGTTGATAATGAGGAACAGGCTACTCAAGTCCCGATGGCTTGTGTTGTTCTGCAGCAAGGTGCTTCTGCGGATAAGCAGTGTTCGGACGCAATCAAGCAGTGGTTCGATGCCAAGGTGTCGAATGCGAAGAGACTGAGGGGTGGCTTTATTGTGGTGGATGAGATTCCGAAGTCTACTGCTGGCAAGGTACTGCGTCGTGTGATGAAGGAGCGGGTTTTGGCAAGTAGAAAGCTCAGAGCGAAGCTCTAGGTGGTCAGAATGGATGAAACGATACCGTCATTCCGTCAAAGATTGAGCCTTGGGTTTGGTCATCGCACCGATCATCAAGAGAATACTTTGAGCAAATGTGTAACGCATGAAACAGAGGAATCTATCGAGAAAATGTCTTCGGTGTTGCACTTTCCGCGAATGCTGGGTCTATGACGTGTACGTCATTTCTCCGTACCAGTCAAAGTCACCGAATATATCATCATCAAACAGACTAAGCAAGTACTCATCCCCATTGGACATGGGCACAATATTCCCAGTCGTGAACGGCGCTGTCAAGTTCGCAGACGTGTCGCGAAAAGCGGTATTCGAAGCTGTATGATGGGTCAGCAAAGTCTGAAGACTTGCACGTTTCTGACCCGACTAGAGATTGAGAAAAAGGACCAAACTCACACTGAGCTTCCGACGGCTGACCAATAGACGGCCCCTGGCCCGGACCTGATAGACCAACCGCAGAGAACGTATCGACGATATCGTGCCACTTGGACGCCGCGTCTATGACGAGGCCGGCACTCAGCCTGCCCAGGTATGCAATAGGCGCATCCACTGAACCGTCTGGACGTCTGTAGGCTCGTGGGTTCCTCCAAAGATCGTCGAGCATCATAGCCGTCTTGAACAAAGAATCGTTCTCGTTGCTCGACAAAGATCTTGCTAAGAGCTTACAACTGTTGATACAGCTTTCAGCGTCTGCGACCCATACATTGTTAGGATAGATTTTGGCAATCCTAAGGATAGTGAAAGTGCAAACCAGGAAGGTATCGACTACGTGATTAGGGGGACTCGGCGGAAAGGTTGCAAGCTGTACAAGTCTCTTTATAAGGTCGAGAACTGTGCGAGCAGTCGAGAGTAGAAGCTGAACAGGCTCATCCATGTCATCTGTCGCCCCTGGCGACCGAACGAAGAGGCTAAAGACTAGGATGTTGAGTCTAGCAGACTGAACATGCAGATTTTCGGTGATTGTCAGAGCGGAAAACTCAGTGCTTTGCTGTGTAAGCTGTGATGCGCGTCTCGTCAATGTCCCAACCTCCAGATCCCGTAGTCGAGTATCAAAAACACGGACGATGATGGCAACGGCATTGGCGTGGGCGTCAGACATGTTGCCAATGAGACCATTGTCTGACACAGCCGTGCAACATTGAACAACAATATCCTGACATTGCAGCTGCAGTTCAAGGCTTTTGTCGGATGTCTCGGTGTGGTAGCCGCCAACTGCGCCAATCATACGCCCTGGGAGATGACCTTTGGCGATCGATATTGATTGATAAGCATGCACACATCTTGCCCACAGGTATTTTCGAATCCCGATCTCCGCGTCCGTAAGGCGTGCCGGCTTGCCTTCAATAAGGTAGAATTCATGGCTGGCTTGAGGCCGGTGAAAGCCGGCTTGCCTGACTTTATGAATGAGGAGGCCGGCCAGAGGATACATGTGATCAAGTACGTTTGAGAAGCGCGGAAACGGCCAGGTCAGAAGAAGCAGTGAAGCTTGGATGCCGTAAATGGGATTGGAGGGACTTAATGGCCACAAGAAGGCCAGGTCGACGACTGGTTGTGCGAGCAAACTGAACAGGTGAAGGTGATGCCGGGATTTACGACAGGCCACTGAGACGATGGCCCAGAATAAGAATGGCGATTGAGCATGGTAAGTATTGGGGTCTGTGTTTGATTCCAAGATTGGGAGAGCAGCAGCGTATGCTTGGAAGTATCTGCAAGGGGTTAGTCGGTAGTAAGTCGAGCATGGCACCACGGACAATACATTGCAAAGAGATCATCAATCTCCCACCCCGTCAATGACACGCTCGATAAGGTCTGAGGCATAGTGGTCGTCGTTGCTGGATACGAGTTGGTTCTAGAAACGACACATAGGCTGCCCGACTCATGGCTACTCGACGTCTCGGTACGCACGACAGGGCGGAACTGATGATTGGACTCAGGTATAAAGTGGTCACCAGTACGCAGGGGTGGATCGCATTGACCGGCCGACATGATCGAGGCGAAGGCTTCATCATTCGGCCGAAACGACGAAGAAGAGGACGCTGGAGCACAGATGGGCGGAAGAGGCAGCTGCTCGTGGGGCTGATCGCCAGTGAGGGGTACATTGTAGTCCTCATGACCCCTTAGTTCCAAGCGCAGTGCTTCTGCTTCCTGTTCCAATTCCGACAGCTTTCTATGCTTGTGTTGGCGCTTGAAACAGTTGGACACAGCACAGGGCAGGTTGAACTTGCGACAACGAGAGCATGGCTGGCCCGGGAGAGGGCCGGCGTCGCAGCGCGCCTTCTGCTGTCTACACTCGGTACAAGCTACACGTCTGGGGCGCCGAGCTGGTACGCCTTGGGGAGCAAGACTCATGCTTAGGAGGTCGCAAGGACCGAGGACTGGGACGATCGATGGAGGAAGGAGCTCCGACCGGCGCGTTCAGGTTATTCTTGGCTTCCTCTACTCTTTGGCCAACTCTTGTCCGTGCACGCCCAGACTTGATATTCCTCACGTGACATTGAAGCAGCTGGCGAATCACAACCACGATCTGGCCAACGATTTGTTCATGTGCATCGAGGAGGATGCGAAGGATGCTCAACGAGTCCGTGCTCAGATCTCTTGTCGAAGCTTGTTCCATGTCAAGCACGACATTCAGCCGTGCCGGCCCGCCGCCGGCGGCTAGTCAGATCGTGCAGTAAGCATCTACATCCATGCCGGTTCCGGCCTCGACCTTGCTGAGACTGTCAGCACAGATGAGATGCATTTTTCGCTTCACAACCGGGGAGGCTGCCAACGCGAGAGTCGTGTACCCTACTTTGCCATCTCTTGCTCGATCTGCTTGCCTCGTTGCAGAGACACACTTCGTGAAGCTTTGCGAGCGTCATCGACTCTTGATCGTCGTCTCCATTTTGTATAAACTTCTCTCGGAACATCGCAATGGAAGGAGCGCTTTGCGGGTGCGATCAAATCGTATTTGAGTCATGTCGCATGCTGAATCCCTTCCAGAAACCCAGCTCAGGATATCTTCCACTTTGACATTGGTGAACCGCCGCGAAGAGTCTCGATCCACAAGACTCTTTTGCAGCGCGTCTCCAGGCCATTGTCAGCTCTGGTTTTCAACGGCATGCGTGAAAGTCAAGAGGAATGTGTGCGTCTGGATGATGTCGATTCTCAGACATTCTCCCGCTTTGTTGAGTGGTTGAACACTGACACATACTCGGCGCCAGGCGCTCCTGACTCCAAGAGTGTGTCTGACAGAGGAGATGAGTGTCAGTCAGACGTCACGTCGCAGTCTGCTCTACTCCCGACATGGGTGGTAGACGGTGATGTATGTCCTACTTCAGAAGAGCAGATGTTTCCTCATCGGAGAGTGTCATCGCGACAGTTCGACTTACCAGGCGCGGCCATCAGACCGATAATCCGTCAGATTGACCAGACACAGAGCCGGTCACCCGACACGAATGAGAGCATTCTGCACGCCTCATGCTTCGCCCATGCCAAACTCTATGTATTTGCAGATCAGAGACAGATATCAGCTTTGCAACGACTCACGGCGAAGAGACTGCAAGAGACATTGCAGACCCTGAACCAATCTGCCGAGCAAGCACTTCTCATCACATCACTGGTCGACTACGCCTACGAGAACACAGCGGGTATGAATATGGAGGAGAACCCTTTGCGTCGTGTTATGGTCGAAACCGCTGCCGAACAGCTTGAACGCCTGATTCCTAGTCCTGTTTTCTTGGAGCTTCTCGAGGAGGGCGGTCAGTTTGTTATGGATCTCGTGCGTGAGATGATGGCTAGGGCGTTGCGACGTGAACAGCAGAACGCCGCGCTTGAAGATGCTGCTAATCATTGGCAAGTGTTTATTGCCAATGCAGCATATTGAGATGACCATCTAAATAGTGACGATTGAACGATATTGATCTTGATGGGGTACGTTAGATAGTCTATCCACATTATCCCTTTTGTTAATCTCGGCCGAAGATCATTTCGTTCGATCTAAGATAGCTGTTACCAATCAAGTAAGGAACTTTAGAAGTTTCTTCATGCAGTTAGAGAAATCAACTAGTTCTGGTGCCATATTTGACGACGATCTTTCATCATCTGTCTGGCGTTTGTCTTGTTTTCTAAAGTCCCAACTCGACAATAGGTAGAATTATCCTGCTACTCTCGTACTTTCCACCAACATGAACGTGGTGTTTGCCATGATTCTGCTGCTCGGCCGGTCTCGGTCGGTTGAACTTCTCGAGTTCAGGGTTGAGCGAGATGTAGCCGAAAACCTGCACTGAGAGCGTTTCTCCAGCTTCGAAATGAGTGGCGCCTGACCAAATACCAATCTCCAGCTCGACAACCTCACCCTTGGGGATACGTTGTTCTTCGTCGTGAGGGTGGAAAGGGATGTGGTCGTGAAGTGTCTTGCTGTGATCGATCTTGCGATGTGAAGCTCGCAACATACCGACATTGCCTTTGAAGTATAGTGCACCGTTGCCGGTCTGTCCTTCGGAAAGATCGTAGGTGGAATCAATCTGCCATCGCTCCTTCGGGATCTGTACGTGAACCAGTGGGTGTCCGTTCTTGTCAAGCTTGCGCAGCTGGACGTACACATTCATGTCGTCGTGTTCATTGCAGGACATGTTGAGGTAGATCTTGGGAGGACCGAGAAGTGTGGTGGGCCTGTCAAATGTGGTTTCGAACTTGATGCGCTCGCTACCCTCTGAGTCGTACGAGTGTGTAGACTCGGCGTTCACAGGCGAAGGCGAGAGGGTCTTGTCGCCGAGGTAGTAGGTGGTATACTTTGTTTCAGGATGAGGGAAATCGGGCAGGGTGATGTTTTCGATCGGAGGTTTGTCGCCATACTGTAGTACAGACCATCTGACCTTCGGAGTTTGCTCCCAATCATTCTTCTCCTCTTTCAGGTAGCGATCAAAGAAATTGCGCAATTCAAGTCGGGATTCCTCTACCGCCCATAGATCAAACCACTCCTGCGTTGCGTTCCACTTGATCCATTTGTTTTCGCTGTCGATCTGCATGTAGGCTCGAATAGATCCCATCGTGTGCATTGCGGCGAAGTCTGTACCGGTGATGAAAGCTGCACACTTGATCTTCTCCAGGGCCGCACGCTTGTCTTCCCAGTATGCTGATGAAAGAGGGTATCGCGAGTACATCTCCTCGAAATCTTCGTATCCGTTTGTGCCTCGCACAGTGAATTTGGTGATGAAGTTGTTGTTAGAGATGGAGAAGATGCCACCTCTGGTAAACTGCTCACGGCCCAGATCCGAGCATCCTTCCCATGGCGCAATGGCTTTCAAGCACGGAGGGTTCTTGGCTGCGATGAAGTACTGCGTGATGGCCAAGTGGGAGTTGCCGGCCATACCGACGTTGCCGTTGCACCAGTCTTGATGGCCCAGGAATTCGACGACATCATATCCGTCTTGCGCCTCTTGCTCACCCATGATGCAGATGTATCCTTCCGAATGACCTGTTCCTCGAGAATCTACATTGGCGACAGCATATCCCCACGCGCAGAAATCCTTGGGATCCACGCTCTCGAAAGTCTCGTATCCGGAGGTGTCGTCTGGCCTGAGACCGAGCTTCCATGGCAAATGAACAGCAATACCGGCCATATTGTACTTCTTGCCATACGGCCCATAAGCTACGATACACGGAATCTTTCCTTTTGCATCGGCAGGGCGGTAAATGTCGGCATACAGCTTGGTTCCATCGCGCATAGCAATTTCAACATCGTTGTCGCGGAGAATGTCAGACTCTAGCTTCTTGCCATCCTGATCATCCCACTGCTTTTTACAGTGCCCTTTCTTGAGAAGATCTTGTCGACCGGGGTTGAAACCCTCGTAACTGTTGTGACCGATGGAAGGCTCGCTGATTGGCTTGAAGGAGATTGGTACCGGATTGACGCCCTGCCAATCTACACCCATTGTTGTTGATTTGTCGACCGACGGATACTATGTGAATGGAAAACAAAGAGAGCGATGGTGATGGGAGGCAAGGAGTGGTGCACGTGGTTTTGAACAAAGTATCGTGGTCTCGAAACGCCCACGTATACCGACCGAACGAAGTTCCGTGAGGGGAGACAATCCTCGGGTAGGTGGAGGAGATCGGGAACTCGGCCTTGCTCGGCCACAATACGATGCGGCTACCCCATCTTTCGGCGACGCGTTTCCAAAGCAGCTTCTGTGCCAATCAGAATCAAGAACAAGTGCTTTCCAAAGCACGTCGCCGACCGAACGAATAATGCTCCGCATTGCGCTCGGCAGCTGATCAAGCGACCGGCCGAGGAAACGCATCGATGGTGCACGCATCACAAATGACAGGACGACAGCCTTGATGTTCATGAACGACTTGTATGGGTACCCGAATTGCGATACAGCTGCACAACCCGCTGCTCGATACAATGACGTCTTGATCAGAGCTATGCCTTTATCATCTATCAAGGATTCTGTTTGAGGTTGGTCCTACGATACGATGGACGGAAAATTCCCGCAACGATGAAAGAGGAACCATGAAGTCTGCGACATCGATGCTGCTAGGGAGCGCGATTCTATGGTCTATCTGTCGTGTAGCGCACGGAAAAAGGTCGTTGGTGACAGCACCCTGGGCGGGATCTTCGCCGTGCGACCAAGGTCGCTGGGCGAGGTTCCGAATGCTTGCGTGGATGGCATACGTCAGGGTCATCATACGTTATTTTCGAGATATGATGACTTTAGACGCCATCCAAGGAGCGTGTGCTACGTGTAATGCATACACTTAGAGCTAGTGGTAGAGCAGAAGCGACATTGATTGATCCGTGAGCTAGTCTGCGATTGATTGGAAGCCCTTCGTTCATTGGCGGCATCCAGTCGAGCGGGCCGGAGAAGATCGGCTTCGCCGAGTTGGACTCAACAAGATAGCGCTGCCGTTATCTAAAGTATCGCGGGGTTGCGGGGTCCGTGATAAGGTGGACGGCTCTCACGAAAAGATGTCTGCAAAAATGATACCATAGCTGTGAGTCGGGGATATGTATCGCAAGATCGACGTGTGATCTATCACGCCATACACTCTTGGAGGCCAATACAGACCTGAGGTCTCCGGAATATGACCCCCAATACTGCTACCGTCGAGGTGCGCGACAACAATCGCACTAGTCACGAAGAGGAACGTCCTGAGGATGTCGGGCAGGACAGGCTCCGTCGCATACCTGACAAGATACCCTGGGTAGTGCTTCTCATCCTGATTGTAGAGTTGGGCGAGAGATTCACATACTTCGGCTTGAGCGCTCCGATACAAAATTACATTAAGTGCGTAAGATCGTCATGCATCTGGTGGGATTTGAGCTGACAAGATCAGGAACCCACACAACCCTGGATCCAATCTTCCGGGAGCACTGGGCAGAGGTCAGGCAGTGGCAACAGCATTGGGCAACTTTTTCAGATTTTGGGCGTATGCTTCGACTGTCGTTGGCGCTACCATTGCAGACCAATGTCTTGGTAGGTTCATGACCATTGCTGCAGCATGCGGCGTGTACATCATCGGTCTGGTCATCTTGGTCGCAACCTCGACTCCAGCGGGCATTGAATCGGGCGCAGGATTCGGTGGTCTCATCGCCGCAATGGTTGTCATCGGTCTCGGCACTGGCAGCATCAAGGCCAATGTTACGCCGATGTGCGCTGAGCAATACTGGCCAGACACGGCGTACACCGAGCAGCTTAAGTCTGGTGAATGGGTTATCGTAGACCCTGAGCTGACGGTCGAGCGCATGTTTAACTGGTATGTGAAAGAATATACTCCATTATATGAGCATCTGTCTGAGTGTCAGCAGGTTCTACTGGGCTGTGAATGTTGGAGCCCTCTCCCCACTGATCACGGTCAATGTCGAGGCAAATGTGTCTTTTTGGATTGCGTACCTGATTCCTCTTGTGTGAGTCTATCATTCATGCCCTCTAGCATCATCCGTGTGCTTGTCGACTGACCAAAGACAGGGTAATCGTTATTGCTACAGCTGTGTTCATCCTGAGCAGCCGACTCTTTGTACAAACTCCTCCGCACGGCTCAGCCGTTGTCGACGCAGTCCGTATCGTGACTATTGCAGTCAAGGAAGGAGGATTCGACAAGGCCAAGCCGAGCGCTCTGGAGGCTCAAGGAGCATGAGATCGTCACGGCTTCGCATCATCTCCTAACTATGCCGACAAATCGGTCAAAGATGTGCAGTCCGGCATCATCGCTTGCAAGGTTCGTGCTCTATGAACACATTCTTGACAAGCGCGAGTCTCGTTGACATGACTTCCAGTTCTTCTTGTTCCTACCTCTGTACTTTGTCTGTTGGATTCAGATCTGGAACAACCTCATCTCACAAGCTGGTGAGATGGCATTGCACGGAACGCCAAATGATCTGCTGCAAAATCTTGACCCAATCGCCTTGATTATCTTTGTCCCACTTCTTGATTGTAAGTCCACAATGGTTCTGAGCGGGATGGACGTGAATGACCTGGGGAACAGTCGTGATTTATCCGCTACTTCGCAAATACAAGATCAACTTCAGTCCAGTCCTGAAGATGACTGCCGGCTTTATTATGGCCTCGATCTCGATGGTATATGCGAGTGTCCTCCAGCATTATATCTACAACTCTCCTCCTAAAAGCATCCATGTGTGGATACAAGCTCCGGCCTACATCTTGGTCGCTTTTTCTGAGGCTTTCGTGATTATCAACGGCCTTGAACTAGCATACACCAAGGCGCCAACAAGGTTCGTTAACAGACCAGATTGAATACACACTTTAGTACTAACGTCTTGCAGTTTGCGCTCTCCGTCTCCGCTTTGTTCTGACTTACTATCGGCATTGCAGCAGCCATTTGTATCGCTCTTGCACCCATGTCTCAAGACCCATACCTTGTGTGGATGTACGCCTCACTTGTTATCGTTGGCTTCGTTGCTGGATGCGGACTCTATCTCTGTTTCAGAAATTCCTTCGATGATGTACCCGTCATCGCTGGGCAAGAAGCGGGAAATATGGAGCTAGACGTTACCGGGGTCGCAGAACATTATGGCAAGCTTGCGATTGAGGAAGAGAGACGACACAAGTAGTGGTGTTTGGTTGGACAATTGTAGGCCTCATCTATACAGATCGTAGGTCTTGGAATAGATGAACATTGAGACATATAGCAATTGCATTCGGTCGTCCTTCATGTTTCCAGTATCTGCTGTGAATTTGTAGTGACGACGTTGTCCAGGCCTTTCCAGTAAATTCTGTCAACACGCAGAAGTGAGAAGCGCAAGATATCGACAGACTTGGAAGGCAGCCAAATTGTCTTCCGCGCACGATCAAGAAGAGCGTGTCAGTCTTGAGCGTCTTCAGGATCGTTAGCTGTGGCTCGAAACAAAGGCAGAGGATCAATCAAAGACACATCTCCCGGAACCCGCTGTAAATCCAAGAACAGCCTCAAACGTGGCAGTACCTCACACTCGGAGATCGTAGTTTTCACAATAGTATATCTCGAATATGTCTCAATCGGCCCCTAACATAAACTCGCGAAGGCATGCCGCAAGCCTGTCTGGCTTTTCTAGCGCCAGACTGTGACCACATTCCTCAAAGATCTCAGATCTGTCCACATTCTCCGCAAGTCGTCTGATGCTCTGCTCGACTAGAGGACCAAAGAATTCCGGTGCACCGATTGTCATAACTCGCATCTCGAGCTTGCCTCCGTCTTCCAGCAGTGCTCGATGATGAGCTGCGTTTTTGAAACCCGCGCGATAGGTCTCCAGAATACCTCGTAAGCCACCCGGCTGCATTGAACAGCTCACCCAATGTTCCAAGGCCGCAGTCTCAATCGCGGTCGGGTTATAACATTCTTGTGTCATGAACATCTCCCAGAACTCGTGCTCGTGACCCTGAATGAGCATCTCCGGGACGTGTGGTATCGAGAAGAAGCCAAGATGCCAACACCAGATACCATCTCGACGGTACTGCGCTGTGACGTTCTTCTCGGTCCAGAAAGATGTTTCCTCCAGGCCGAAACCAGACACCATCATCTCACAGAATGACAAGCTCTTGACACGGTCCCGGCAGGTGGCAGCGAGCGCGTACGCAAAATCCGCTCCGCGATCCTCGCCGTGTATGTGGAACTTGTCAATTTCTAGATATGTCATGAGTTCGCTGAGGTCCTGTGCGTTTGTCGCCGAGTCGTAACCTTCAGTAGTGGGTGGCTTATCGGTGTAGCCGAAACCTCGGAGATCTGGAGCGACGATTGTGAAATGCTCTGTCAACAGTGGAATGAGCTTGTACCAGTAGTAGCTCGTCTTTGGCGTGCCATGAAGCAGGAGGAGAGCTTCAGATCCTTGACCGGCCCGGATGTAATGCATTCGGATGCCATTGACTCTGGCGCGCCCATGTGTGACAGCCTTACCGGTATGATCGTACATCTCCATTATTCCTAGAAATACGAAGATTGAAGGATACTGCAGATTAGGAACACATGGATCGAGCGGTCCTGTTTATAACTCTCGACGCTGTGACAGTTGTGGTTCGTAACGGCGAGCCACCCCTCACCACCAAAAGCAGTAATCTGTAGCGCCCCCCACATTCCCCACGACGTGGCTCTTCTGTACGGATAGGTGATGGTTATGACGCAAAGCCAAGCTAGAGAAACTGCTTTTTGTTTCTCCCTGGCGCTTGTACACAAAAATCGTGGCTCTCGTAAAATGGCTGCCCAAACGCTCGACTTTACTCTGCGTGACCTGGTTCATGACTCCGACTCGACAGGACGGAAACTTGGGTCGACCATGCGCCGCGCGAGCGTTTACTGCAGCGTCTGCACGATCCCCGACCCTCTTTCACGCTCAAGACGACACGGATCATCACATCCATCATGACCAATGACCTGCGACACTCGACAAGAGCCGAGATACCAGACCAGTGGCGGTGTGATCATAGCCCGGTATGGTCTGACCATGATCTCCTGTCTAGTCGCCAGATGGTGGTGCATCAGAAAGAATAAGATACTCGACCAGAGGGAAGCTGAGACTGGCGAGGTCAACAGCTGGCGGAACCAGGCTTATCGATTCGGGATTTTATTGTGCCTTCGTACAGCTTGTTGTTGCACTGCTTGAATCCTTGCGAAGCAAAGGGTGTGACAGTATTCTGCACATAGGGATCAGGAGTTCCATCCGTCATGTTTCATTTCCTGGAAGGTTCGCCTTGTCGACGATAGGGTGCGGAGATGATTGTCCGGTTGTATGTAAAAAGTTGCCGTTCCTGCCATCTGTCAAGCAAACAGATCTGCCAGCTCCCGCTCCCATATGTCCTATCCATGCAGCTGATTTCTTGTTCTCCGTAAAATGGCTTCCTGTCGAGTGCGACCATGGTAGATAGTTCCTGATGTCAAACCATGGACCTGGATACCATCGAGCTGAGCTCACCGTCTCTCTGGGACACGACTAACCCAAATAGGTTGCAGGTGGCAGCTGCCCGCCTTCGAAGTTCGGCGAGACCGGCGCGTGGGAACTTTATCGTCTTGAATGCGACTGCCTTCGCGCACACTGCAAGTCTCGGCAAGACTCCAAAGCTCTCTTCTTGCTTCATTGAGCTTGGTATAGTTGTTGGACCAAGCCCACCATGCAAGCAATACTGCCATCTCAAGGTGGCTTTCGAGGAGTGTGCTCCGTCATAGTGCAGTTGTGATCGCTCAAACGGGTGCCGAAACGTGTCCGGTTGTGACCTCCGATCGCATGTGACGTTTCTCGGCGCTAGTTTTCGACTGCCTTTGGCAAAATTCACCGTTGCACATAACGAGCTTGATTGGGCGAATGACTCGGCAAGTTAAGCTAGGCCGTCGAATGCGGCTAGCGATTTGCATGAGCGCTATACAAAGGTTCTCAATCATGATACTTTCGTGTAGTATCTGCAGTCGATCCAACTTTTCAAGCAGATGCGGCACTGGCAATCAAGTGGACTGTTACATCGGACAAGGTGGTGGCTTACTGTAAGGTATTCTGGAAAGACTCGCTGTCATGGTTTTTGCGTGGATTTTACAGCACGCCTAGATAGAGTTCATACCACGATGACAAGTCCCTGATCCGTTCCTGCATCTCGCAAAACTCGTCCCAATAGGGATTGTAGGAAGGATCATTTGGCACTTGATAAAAGGTGTTGGCGTCCTGTGATGTGAGCTGAGCACTACTGGTACGTCCTCTACAGTCCTCTTGTAATTTCACAGCATCCTTGTTCGTCTTGCCCTCAGCGAAATGTCCTTGCTATGGGTTAATGAGGTGGGTAACCCCCGCAAACAGAGAGATGCCTCGACTCGGTCCTTGATCAAACAACATGTCATGAAGGCGATTGGCAAGTCGCGGAGGGGGCCTCAAAAGGGGAAAGTGGTGTTGCAAGGTCATTTTGTCTTGAACGACAACGAACCATCTCACTGCGAGTACAAAGTGGAACCTGCAGTTGGCTCGCCCTATTCGGTGACATTGTCGCAACACTCCGCTTCGACATATGCACGCTCGGCAAGTGATGAGGATGTCGAAAACGTCGTGGAATACATCCCCCACTCACTGTTCGATGAAACAACTCAGGCGTCTCTTTTTAGTCGAAGTATGTTGACACCACCACCTGCCAGCCACCTGCATTCTTTACTGATGTTTTGAGTGTAGTGCGCTATCATCCTAGGTTCGCGACACAAGATTGCGACTTCCACGCAGAACTATGGTGGGAACTGAGTCAATTGGACCCAGCAGTCAGCGCTCAAGTCGATTCGATGCTGGCGACGAAGTATGGATTTCTTATGACGAAGCCCAATGTGCCCTTTGACCTCGACGGACCTACTCCGGTGATATTACGTCTGGAAGCTTTGAGGGCTACTCAACGAGCAATTGAAGACCCTCGAAGGTGTTATAGTGTTGGCACAATTGCGGCCATTACAGCGAGCATCTTTGAAGCAGTCAGTGACATGCTTAATTCGTGAATATTACGTTTTTGCTGACCTCCGATAAGCATGCTCGTGAGAACGACGTACAGGTTATTCTGCATCTTCGCGGGCTACGTAACATCATCAATCATCGTCCAGGTGGGTTGTCTTCTTTACGAGGCTATCCAAAGCTATGGATTCTGATCTCGATGTAAGTAGAAGATCTTCTTGATGATGCTGGCGAACGAGAATAACTGACGGATGCTTTTCCAATCAACAGGTGTGAGATCATCTGCGCGACTACGTGGGATACTGTTCCAGAGCTTCCATTCCCGATGGACTACTTCCAGGAACCCATCTTCCGACCGACACGTCCGCCGTCTGAGTTCTCTGAACTGGTAAACACTGCTTGGGTCAGCAAGCAGCAACAAAGTGACATTACGACAAGAACATACGACCACATGTCCCACTACCCCCGGCCGCTGTATGATGAACAACAAAAGCCCATCTCACTCCATCCGAGAACAATGATGACAATCTTCAATGGATTCAAGATGTGGCTAAGTCTCCCATGTGCATCTCTGCTCGAAAATCAGGAGATGAGGATGACTTTGCTTCGCAGTTTGGATAGTCTCTTGGATACTCCTACACTGATTCGTAAGCAATGGTCAAGCAGATCATCTGACCTTGTTAATCTTCCTTGGTCTGGTCAGGATGTCTTGAAGCTCATCATTCTAGTCGTACGATGCGGAAACGAGATGCATCCGGTACTTAACACTCTGGCTGCTGAACAACAGTGATTCATGCTTCTAGCCGTCTTGTAGTTGAGGAAGGAACGTTCGCGTTTTGAGACGTCATACCTTTTCCATCTGGCAAAGGAGACCGTGGCTGTGATGACGCGCCCGGCGCAATTTAACCTCCGTCTCCAGGCTCGGCAGGAAGCGCCGGGGCCGGACAGACACGACGAAATCTCCGCAACGACAGGACACATTGGTTGGTAATCGAAAAGATCGGGTCCGACTCGTCAAGAGAGCCGGACCACAGAACACAGCCCGAAGTGGCAGCCGTGAATCCGACGCCGTAGTTTTAGAGTTTGAGGCACCGCCAAATGTGGGAATTCTTCCTGCGAGGGCTCCATCAATACTCTTGGCTACACTATTTCCGCCTTGACGATGGAGATGTTCTTGGAGCTAACTCCGGTGTGGTCTATGCGAGTATGCGCCGCAAGCGGTTTTGCTGACAGGCAACGGAGCAACTTCAAACCACCAAGATGAGGCCTCCGAGAAATTGCAATATCCTCTACAGCATCACAAGCATATAAGATACTTTCTGGCCTGTCTCGACAATTTTCATCATCACCAAAACAAACAGTCTGACAAGCATACGAACAAGTCAAAGACCTCCAAATAAACATGTCTCGCTACGCATCCGCTTTCGCGACACCTAATGGACCCGGCGATGCCCGCCCTACCGCCCTTCAAATCATCAAAGACGAAGAAGCTGAAGGGACACTCGCCGGCAAAGTCATTGTCATTACTGGAACCTCCGCAGGTCTCGGCATCGAGACAGCAAGAGCACTTCTCCACACTGGTGCCAAACTGATTCTGACTGCCCGCAACCTTGAGAAGGCCAAGACTGCTCTAGGCGATATTCTGGTGCCAGGACGTACCGAGCTTGTCACTATGGATAACACATCTCTCGATAGCGTGCGTGCTGCTGCTGAGCAAGTGCTCAAAATTACTGGTGGCCAAGTTAACATCCTCATCAACAACGCCGGTATCATGGCTTTACCCGAGCTCGAGCACACCAAAGACGGTTTCGAGATGCAATTTGGCGTCAATCACTTGGCCCACTTCCTCTTCTTCGAGCTCTTGAAGCCCGCTCTTCTAGCCAGTGCGACACCTGACTGCTCTTCTCGCGTAGTCAACCTTTCCTCATCAGCTCATCGCATCTGCTCCATTAATGAGTCTGGGAATTACAGCTTCGAAAAGGGTGGTTACAATGGTTGGGTTGCGTATGGACAGGCCAAGACAGCCAACATTTACATGACCAACGAGATTGAGCGACGCTACGGATCTCGTGGTCTGCATGCAAACAGCGCTCACCCGGGCTTCATCATGACTGAGCTGACAAGGCATTTGGACGACAGCGCAAAGGATGGTTGGGGTGATGAGTCCATCTTGAAGGTCATGAAGTCTGTTGAGCAGGGTGCTGCTACCACTGTTTGGGCTGCTGTCGGAAAAGAGTGGGAGAATCAGGGCGGCTTGTACCTTGCTGACTGTGATGTCGCGCCTCTCGTGGAGGACGGTCGTGGTGCAGAAGGTACTGGCCGCGTTGCTCATGCCTACGATCCCGAGAGAGAAGTGCGTCTGTGGAAGGACTCTCTGAAGATGGTCGGTCTGAATTCGGAGTAAGCAATTGATAGAGTGTGTCGCCGAAGCAAGAAAGATTGAATCTCAGTCCGTAGTCGTCGACAATAAAAACTAAGAGCTTGTTCTGCAAAAGTCGTCTAGCTTCGTCATCGTTATTTGTGCATGCTTCACGCGTCTTGCTCACGTGCTCTGATAGCGGATCAAGCAGGAGATGTTAGGTGTTCAAACATGGCCTGGTATTGGTCTCATCTCGAGTCAGTCAACCGGTTACTTGCATCCGCAGTCGACATCAGATCTGTAGACTCAAAAGCAAAGACAGTGACAAGGCAAAATGACCAGGCGCTCAAATCCTCGATCGGCGGAGGCAACGAACAAAGATACACTTTGATCGCTTCCGCCTGCAACTTTGCTCTTGTACTCGCCCACCACTGTCTTGTCCCTCCAAGTACTTTGAACCAACAGAACAGGAGCATCATTGCTTGTGGCGATCTCCCAGCGAGCAGTTGACAAAGGTGTGGCCATGCTTTGCCGCCAAATCGGAGAATGTCATCACGGTAGTTTGCGGTTCCAGATGAGAACATGATAGGTGCAAGACGATCAGCTATGCTGCGCACCATCTCTTGAACCATATCGTCGCCGATGTTGAGGTTGCAAATCATCTCGAGGATGAAGAGCGAGTCCGGTGTTTTAGGCTCGCGAATGGGCATCGATCCTTTGGGCGCTGCCAATGCCCAGACAGATGCGAAGATCGAGGAGGGTGTAAAGGTGCCCAGAGTCATTCGTAGAGCTCTCAGACCGTGAGATAATGCAAGTGGAGCAAGCATCGTCTCGACGGCGGCTTCGTAATCGACAATGAAAGCGTCAGGAGCCATCTCGCCGTCGAGAGTGGTGCTGTAATATAGAGATAGCAAGGATCCAGTCACTAGCGCATCACCGTATTCCTGAGAAGCAGTCGGATCAGCCAAGGAAACTGCGGTTCGATAATTCTGTAGCCCACGCTGCCAGTGAACGGCTTCAAGCAGAGCATGGTTGGCACTGCTCTCTGTTCGGTTTGCTAGACGTCGGAGATGCGCATTGGAAAGAGCCAGAATCATGTGCATAATGAAAGGTTGCTGCCATGCCGAGTGTGGAACGTGCTCGTGCATGACTGCACGCATGGCACACCCACCGAGCGTCCTTGAAGTGGTATTACGGAAATGCTGCAGCGTGTGGACGACGTTCGTTAATAATGACCCCTTGGCAGCGGTCCCAAGCAGTTCAGTAAGATCCAGTTGAATCATTCCGAGAGACAAATCATTCATTAAGGTTGTTGGTGAGGCTGTCAGTCGTTGCGACTGCATTTGCCTCATAGCATCCACCTCGTAAACACATGGGCTGTCCTTGCGCTGGCGCTGGCAATAACTACACCGTGGCTTGACCTCATCACACTTGCTCAGAATTCAGCTTCCATATTTCCATAGCACCAGCAAATATAATTCGTCGGCGCTTGCAAGCCTGGCATCCGGCGCGTGACTTTTTGTGCGGCCTTCTCGCCCTATCGGCAGTTTCCAGTAGGATGACTCCGGATTTGTCGGTGCTTCGCTGTGCTCTGAATACAAGGGGGGTGCAAGAACGGATTACCACCCCCCTTCGCCGAAGTTTATTCGCTACTACGCATTAGCATTAACTCGACGACCTTAATTCATTAAATACGACTACTTAATTTATCGATATAAGGCTTCTACTACTTAGTATATATGCCGTTCGCTGTAATAACTGCCTCGTAACGTTTGTATATACTTTATACGTACTTCCGGATGTCGCGTTCGTCTAGTTTTAACTATTCCTCCTCTACGTACTAACGTACTTCTTCCTTCGTCTTCGGAAATCGTCTACTAACCCTCTATTTTAGTAATCGCTAGAGGTTCTTAATTAGATTAAGATCAGGTAAGTTTAGAGGCTAATCTATATAAGTAACCCCTCGTTTAGCGTAATAATTACGCGTTACGAAGGCCTTATAGATAGAGGCGTTATCTTCTATAAATATAAGATTATCTAAGGCCTAATAATGATAGTTGTAATCTACTATAAATTAGTACGTAGAAGGTAGTACTTTTATATAGTATACCTCTCCGTTTATCTTGCCCTATTCCTTCTTAAAAACTACGAGAGGACCGAGGCTATTATTACGATCCTACCTCGGATAGGGTTATACAGCCTACTCTATAGTTCCCCGCACCTTAGCGGAATAGAGCACTCTATATAACACGCTATCTGCTCTACCCTACTCTGCTACTCTGCTTTATAGAGCATAATAGAGTATATAGAGTAACCTATATACACTCATTATCTATTAAGTATATAGGNAGGTAGGACGACCTTAGGTAGTCCTACGTTTAACTTAATTAGTTATTCTAANAGTCCCTTTAGTATANACTACTTTATATACTACNTNCTTTACTTCGCTTAACACTCCGCTTTACGAGTCTAACCCTATAACCTATTATCTTATCCTAGATAGTTAGCTATAATAACTTTAAACGCCCTTAGAATAAGTCACTTAAGTAATACTACCCTAAAAGGTATACCTAGCGAGGCTAGTAGAAACCGCTTTACTAGTACTACTCGTAACGATAGTAAAGTCGCTAAGCCCGACCTCTACTATAGAGACCGCTAGGGGCTTAACGATTAGCTTAACTAGATAGATCTTTACTATATCTTTACTCTTATAAAGGAAGCTAAGAAGACTATCTTTACTAGTACCTACCTCTATAAAAGAGCCTAGCACTAGATGAAACTAATGCTTTAAAAGTTCCTTAATAAACGTAAGGATACTAACGGGATTATAATAAGCTTTATTAAGTTTAAGACCGAGATACGCCGTATCTTTAGTATCTCTAACGAAGATAAGGTTACTATACGCCTTATTTAGTATATCCGTTAGTATACTTTAGTATCCGAATATACCGCTAAGTTCTAAGAGTACGCCTAAGTTACCGATTAGGATAATTCCGCCCTTATAACTATATATCGACGTAGTCTAAAGGAAAATGTTAAAGACGAACTTATATAAGCTAGTATAAAAATCGAAGATCTAGATAATCTTATCTATATAACGATCGAAATCGACGATAATCTTTACGAATATACTATAAAACGACGCTACGACGTAGCCCCTCGAGGTAAGTCTAGTTACGTCTTATACTATAATTATAAAGGAAAGAATAACTTTAGTAGACGTAACTAGTACTAGGATCCCTATAGACCCTAACTAATAGAACTAGACATTACTAAAGATCGACGATCGAATAAGAAGAAGTAGTTTAAAGGGAAGAGTTTAATAACTTACTATAGATATAGTAAGAAAGGCTATATAGTAAGGGATTATTATTTAAAAAATAAAGTACCTTAAAGATAATTTAATATAATGTAGCGCTACCCTAACGTCGGGCTAGAGCGTAAGGAACTTAAGGAGCTAAAACTAAAGATTAAGAATCTTTAATATAATTACTATAGAAGGCTTAGCTAGACCGTATACTACGACGATAGCTACTTAATCTACTATAGTTCTAAGATAGGATCTAGATAGTTTCCCTCTTAGCTAAAGGGTAGAGGAAAAGGCTACTATAATGTTATTACTAGGAAGGATAACCTCGAGGAAGGAGAGTTTAAAGAGGATAGTGTCGAAAGTAATCCTAAGGAGGATACTACTAATAGTAAGGAGGAATCTAAAGAAGAATCTATCGACGACGACTATAACTACCTTTATAATAGTAAGGAAGGTATTAAAGTACTTTATACTTATATTCTATTATATTTTACTAAGATATTTAACGTTATAATAAAATATAGAGAGGAAGCCTTTCTAAAGATTAATAAATAAAGATTCTTATACCCTTATAACTTTAATAATATACTAGATTAGATCTATAAGGCATTTTAGAAACATCGATTAGTAGTAGTCGACTATAACTTTAAGGCTTTCATTTAGGAAAGGCCGCTACTTAGAAGTACCTTTATACTTATAGGATATATTATTCCTACTAGAGAATGTATTAATAGAAGTATATAAGATAGCATTAATTTACTACGATCTCGATACGGATAAGCTTAATAATAGTAACGAGTGCTATATAAACGACACCTCTACGAACTCGAAATAGGAACTAAAAGTAACGGTAAAGTTACCTTTACGAACCTACCTATTAATATCGATTTAGGAAAAGAGTAGATTCTCGTAGTAAGGGCAGCTAACGAGAATATAACATAATCTAAGCCCTAGTATTAACATTATTAATAATAGTATTTCGTATACTAATTACTATATAAGGAAAACGACTATACGTAATAATAGACTCTAGAGTAAGCGGAAACTTTATATCTATATCGGTAGTCGCTCGATTTAGAATAGCTACTTAATCGAAAAAATATAGATACGACCTAATAACGGTAGACGGCTTAGCGTTACCTAGCGTATTAAAGGAAACGGTACCTCTAAAGATTATTACCTAACGGCACTATAAGGACATTATCTTAGACGTTATAGAAATAGCTAATTACTATATCGTCCTAGGTATACCCTAGTTAAGGTAATATAACCTAGTAATTAATTAGATATTACGATTATTACGGTTCGAGGAGTATAACTACGTAGTCGACTCGCGACCTACGCACTAGTAGCGTTCGGTAGTAGATAAGAGGAAAGGGCGAAAATAGGCTATAATAGTATATATTACTATTACCTCGACTAAGGTATTAGTAAAGAAGTATAATACTAGCTCCGTAAGCACCGATCTTAGAGGTTAGACGGGCTACGAAGCGAGAGTTATTAAAGGAAGTTACGTACCTTCTAATATCCCTAAATAATATAGTAAATAGAAACGCTTATTCTAGGAAGAGGAGAACGTAAACGCGTTACCTAGGTATTAGCTGTAGGATTACGAAATTAGACTCGAACTAGGGAAGTAACCTATATTTAGACCTATCTATACGTTATCTAAAAAAGAACTTAAGACGCTTTAAGAATACTTAGACGAGAACTTAGTACGAGGATTTATCTAAAAATTAGAATCCCTTATAGGTTACCTAATTCTATTTATACTAAAGAAAGACGGTAGCTTATAACTATACGTCGATTACCGAAAGATTAATAATATTACTATTAAGAATCGTTACTTATTACTAAATATTAAAGAACTATAAGACCGCCTCTTAAAGGCTAAGTAGTTTTTAAAGATTAATCTTAAAGGAGCTTATAACCTTATCTAAATAAAGGAGGGAGAAGAATAGAAGACCGCGTTTTAAATACGCTACGGGCACTATAAGTACCTAGTTATACTATTTAGTCTTACTAACGCCCTAGCTACCTATTAGATAATAATTAATAATACGCTACGAGAATACTTAGATAGGACAGTTATCGTATACCTCGACGATATCCTAATCTATATAGATAGAAACCTAGAATAATATATAAAAGATGTATAATAAGTCTTAACTAAGCTTTAAGAACGGAGACTTAAGGTAAACCTAAAGAAATATAAATTTTACGTTAAGGAAACTAAATTTCTCGGCTTTATTATAAGAGTCGACGGCATCTAGATTAATCCTACGAAAATTATATCTATTAAAGAATAGCCTACTCTAAAGAATCTTAAAGAAGTATAATCGTTCCTTAGACTTACTAATTATAATAGGAAGTTTATATTAGGTTACTTCTAGATAGCGTTACCGCTTATAGAACTTATAAAGTAAGATACTCTATTTATATAGAAAGAACGGTAATAGAAAGCTTTCGAAGCACTTAAATAGGTATATATCGACGGACCTACTCTAAGAATGTTTAACTTAGGAAAGCTAGTCTATATCGAGACTAATGTATCTAATAGAGCGATTAGAGTATATCTTACGTAAGACTATAAAGGGAAACGACATCCCGTAGCTTACTACTTACGTAAGATAATACTAGTAGAATAGAATTACGACATTTATAATAAAGAACTTCTCGCTATAGTCGTAGCCCTATAACATTAGAGAGTTTACGCCGAAGGAGCCCCCTTACTTACTATCTTTATAAACTATAAGAACCTCTTAACCTTTATAACTACTAAAGTTCTTAACCGTAGGTAAGTGCAATAGTTAGAACTTCTTAGTTAATATAAATTTAAAATCTAGTATATACTAGGTAAGGATAACGGTAGAGCGGACGCGCTTAGTAGAAGAATTAACTATATAAAAGGTAAGGAGGCTATTATATATAGCATCCTCTAAACTAATAAAGATAGAACACTTAGCGTACGGACATATAAGTTTAATGCTATATTATATATTATAAAGGATAATAAAGAGGAGTTTTCTATCTTATACGACAAATACTAAGTACCTAAATAATATTAGGAACAGTGTATTAAGGACTACTACGATAACCTAATATACGGTTACCCTAGTATTACTAGAATAATCGAGGTTATATAACG